CAAAAGTGACTCCACTAGGCGAAAACACGGTGCCCCGCCTCGAGCTCACGGCTGCAACACTGGGTGTTCGAAAAGCCAAAACCATCAGAAAAAACATTCCGAGAGTTCAGGCTTGTATAATCTGGAGTGATAGCCAAGTTGTGTTGGGCTGGATAAGAGGAGATGCGGCCGACAAACCAGTTTTCGTGAAGAATCGTCTCGCCGAAATCACAAGCATCGAAGCAACTTTCCGTTATGTGCGAACCCACGAAAACCCAGCCGACATTGCTTCGAGAGGGACGGAGATTTCGAAAATCGAGAAAAATGAACTATGGTGGAATGGACCCAGCTTCCTACAACAACCAGAGGACCAATGGCCCAGACCCGAGCTGGAGCCTATTGAAATCACTCCGACAAAAGGGACAACAGCAACAAGCATCATCCAAACACAAGAAAAGGAAGACTGCTCACTGTTGAACCCTAGGAGATTCTCTTCATGGAACAAGATGATCTGCACAATGACATTCGTTTTGTGGTTCATCAAAATCACATCAACTCGTGCGGAATCAGGAATCAGATCGATCTTGAAGAACTTTACCCACCGGCATGAAATTGGACAACTCGCCGAGATCCAGCTCATCAAAGAAAGTCAACAAAGACATCCACCATCTCCAACGGACACAAAGTCACTTCGCTTGTTTCGCGACGAGAATAACTGTTGGAGATCCCAAGGACGTATCGACAATAGTAATGCCGGAGAAGAGGCGAAGAAACCGTTCTTCCTCTCCCACAAAGACCCAGCTACAGCACTACTCGCCGCCGATGTACACGAAAGGATGCAACATGCCAGCACCTCAGTCACATTGGCCACTCTTCGAAACAGTGTTTGGATTACACACGGAAGAGTTCTGGTCAACAAAGTCGTAAAAAGGTGCCTAGCATGCAAGCCGGAACGTGCAGTACCTTTCAAACTGCCTGAGCTTCCACAACTACCAACCTCAAGGGTAAAAGCATCACTACCCTTCGAAAATGCCGGTGTCGATCTTGCTGGACCATTTCTCGTGAACGACAACGGGGAAACGACAAAAGTGTGGATATGCGTCTTTGTTTGTATGGCATCAAGAGCAATACACATCGAAACAACTCGATCTGTTTCCGCCATCGATTTTCTCCAAGCCTTGAGAAGATTTGTCGCCCGTCGAGGACTCCCGAAATTCTTCATCTCCGACAACGGAACTAACTTCAGAGCCACTTCACCGCTCATCGAATCCTGGAGCAATGCAGATCAAGAATTGTTCGAAAAATCGGCTCTGAAGGACCGAATCACGTGGAAGCACATCCCAGTCTTGTCACCATGGTCTGGAGGACTTTATGAACGAATGATCCGAATCATCAAAGAAAGCCTCCGAAGAACCATCCGAAACCGACTCCTCGACATCGAAGAGTTCATCACTTTCACCGCGGAAGCCGAGGCCGTTGTGAACTCACGACCACTGACAAACCTTGGAAATGGGAAAGTCCCTCGCCCAATCGATCTCACAATACCCAATGCAACAATTCGCCTGCCAACCGAAGAACTGCAGGATAGCCAGCCACTTCAAGGAAATACGCAACGGTCTCTCCGAGCATCCTGGCAGCATGCAGTGGACCGAACGAATATTTTCTGGGAACTCTTCACGACCGACTACCTACTGGCTTTGCGGGAAAGAGGTTTCCAAGGTCTCAAACAACACCCAAACGCCACAAAGCGTCGTCCAATTCTTGACGAAATCGTCATTGTCTACGAGCCGAATGTCGCCAAAGGTAAATGGAGAACAGGAAAGATCACCAGACTGGTCGAAAGCAATGACGGACATGTACGATCGGCTGAAGTTCAGATGTCAAATGGTCGCTCAACTATTCGTTCTATCGCTACCTTGTACCCACTGGAGATCTTGCCGGAAGAAAATGAGAACACGACGGCAAACGAGAAGCCAGAAAGTGAGGCCAAAAAACCAACTGAAAACAAAGATGTATCAAAAGGACCCCAAAGCAAAAACGGCAGTGCTCAAAAGATTGTCGAAAGCTCAAGATCAAGATACGAATTTCGGCCACGGAAAGCAATCACCTACACTACTGTGATTCTCGTTCTACAACTGATGAGCGGAGTCGCAGCGAGCGCCTGCTCAGGTATCGTGAGGTACCAAGAATACTGCACACGATTTGGGTTGGCAATCCACGAGAATAAGGGGAGGGCTTGCGCCAAGCCGGTCTCCTGCGGAATTGACCAGCACATCCGACGGCACACGGATCCAAGCTACCTCACCTCGCCTTGCACCACCCCTTGCCGATGCCCAAATTGGGCCGACGATTGTTCTTGGCTGATCAAGCACCCATCAACCCAATATCTACCCGAGCACGGAGAAAGAATTGCAAAAATGGCTCCCAACTTGTGTCGGGTCAAAAGCCAACAATGCCCAATCCAACAAACACGAAGTATTCATGAGGTGATGCTGTACAACGGAGCCATGGCATGGGTCAACGAATTGAACATCATCAGGAAGCAGATAACGGAACCAATCTGTATCGGTGAAGGTGACGTCGACGGAACCTCAACCTTCTGCGAACAATTCAAATGCACCAGGGGGAGGACCGCGATTTTGTCTCTTCCCGAGACATGAACTCGCTCTCCTTCAGACTCCCAATGGAGCTGTACCCATCAAGGCTTGGGCCACCAGCAACAAACGGGTCTATGTTCAAGAAGAGAAAAACGACACGACAGAAAAATGCCGAAGGCTATCTTTCAATTGCACAAATAGCGGCCTCGTCATCGATATCATTCCGGAATGCAACGACCTTGCTGAAATATGCGTGAACACGGGATCCAATCGACAATGTACCCATCTCGACCCTTCACAAATTTCACAAGGACCCACCGAATTCTGCACGCCCCCTAAATATCGAATCACCAACCACACTTTTGAGATCACGGCCTGGAAAAATGGAAATCTACGAGAAAAACGACTACTCCAATGCCCTCCTCTCAACATATGCGACGTCTCGAACTGCATCATCTGTTGGTCGACCTATTTCACACCACAATGCACAGTGTCCAGGGTGGGAGGCGCTCTACTCCGAGTTCTCATCGGCATCACATGGTTCTGGGCTACAATCGCTATCGTCAAGCGAGCAACCCGCCGACAACGCCGCCAAAGAACCTACCCCATTCGACTGATGAGACTCGCGCTACTACTTCTTCTCCATTGGCCATCCCAAGTCTACAGCTGCGGCGAAACAATCACAATTCAAGCAAAAAATCACGAATGCCAAGTTTTCCACAACGGACTGACCTCATGCCGATTTGAACAGAAAACAATGTTGACACTTCGGGACCATGAGGAAGCCTGTATCATGTTCAAAGATCACACCGAAAAACCCGCTGGCACCCTGCGAATTCGTGCACAAGGCAGTTATCGGTGTTCAAGGACAGGAAATCGAGTATTCACTCGACCAGTCGAAATCCATACCGTCTCAACTCGCCGATGCCCTGGAATGGGGTCATGCAGCTCAAACGCATGTGCAACCACAACACACAACGCAAAGATCGAGGAATTCCGACAAACGAGCCACCTCCCAGGAAACTCCAGATGTCAAGACGGATGCTCCGGCTTCATCTGTGGCTGCATTTCCTTTGCACCCGCTTGCCTCTTCTCCAGATCCTTCGCTTCACCTATCGACAATACAACCATCGAAGTCATCAACTGTGAATGGGTCAAATCAGCAATTGTCGAGTGGGACCTGGAAGGGAAAAAGGGAAGTCAATTTTGGCCCCGGGAGAGACCGATAAGGACAGGACCCTTTCTATCGGAGTCATCAACATCGATGTCCAGAAAGAAATCAGCCAGAGACAGTTTGCCATCATAAACCAGGAAACTGCTACGGCCCTCGACGAAGTCCAAGCAAAAGCAGCAACACTCTTCCAATGTCCAACACAAATGGACGCGATGCGGATGACAAGTCAATGCAAAATTGATGAACAACAACTTGCTTGCCGAATGGTGGATGAAAGAATCGTTTGTGGACGATTGACCGGACCGGATTGGACATCACATAGACTACCGATCTCAATACGAGGAGACCTATTCCAATTCGACGACCGCTCAAAGACGGTCACCGGACTCGCCGGAAACACAATAACGACACTGGCCATCAACATCCAAGGAATGACTACAACCACCAGGGTGGACGTGGCCCGTTGCCAGCTCGAGGACCTAAGCATCAAGGGATGTTTCTCGTGTGACATCGGGGCCGTACTCGACTACGTCTGTACAGCGGAATTCGGCCAGACGTCGGGACACCTTCTATGTGGAAACTCAACAACAACACTCGTCTGTGACGGTTCTCACTCAAAACGACAGACGACGATCAACTTCGAAGAATCGAACATCGACATGGATTGCCAACTATCCTGCCCAGGAGGAAAAACCAACACTCAACTACGGGGACGACTCTTCTACATCGAGCAAACCCGTAGCGAATGGACGGTGATGAAGCCGGAAATGACGGATGTCTCAGTGGGCAGCGCGTCATGGCTTCAACAACTACTCTACGAATTCATCCTCAAGGACATCTCCATGATCATCACAATAATCGCATTGCTCTTCATCGTTCCATATGTGATTATCTTGTTTTGTAAATTGTTCAGAACCTTACTTCGTTGTTTCCATCTTCCTTTCCTTTTGGCCGGGAATGTTCGGAAATTCTTCCGATAAAGTCTAATTTCTTTTAAAATCTATTTTTCTTTTAAAAGTCTATCGACCAATATTTCCCTCCTTTGATCCTCCTTTATCCTCTAAAAGCTTTCCGCGATTTCCCCAGACAAAAACATAGACCTTTCAAAACATTTAGCACTTATCTTTTCGGTATATAAACCCTCCGTGCTTCAATAAATTCTTCTACCTTGAACCAAGGAATATTGGATACAATCTATATTCAACATAATCTTTCATTTTTATTTCACAATTTTCATTTAATCATTTTAGAATCAAAGAATGGAAATCGATGCTTGCGCTCGAAGTTACGAGGAATGTTTGCGGAGAGTCGACAAGATTATTCATGACTTGAAGTGAGGAGAGATTTTGATTTTGAAAAATCTATTTAGCAAGCTTTTGAGTATACTGTAGTCTAATTTTAAGCTGTTTACAGTATCGTTAAATTTCTATTTACAATACCGCAAGATAGTAGCGCAAATTTACTCATTTCTAAATCTTCTAATCGTTCAATATTCCGTTATTATAATCTACAATAGCTACCGTATTCTTGTCTTGATTTTATGCGTTAGAGCCGATTTCTAAATCTTCTCTAAATTACCATAAACCGAAGCTCAATTTCCGTAACCTTTATCGTAAAATTTGTACTCTTTAACTTACCGTAAATACTGAAATAGTACCCCACCCCGATAATGACGGTGCGGAGTGTTGCGTCGTCTAGCTTTGAACGAGTTTTTCTCGACACTGGTTTATGCTACAATGCTCGTTTAAATATCAAAAAATAGCCCCGAATTTCAGCTATTTTTTGATATCAAAGACGCATTTTTTGAAAGTACGGGCGCTTTGAAAAAAAATGAAATACTAAAAAACTTTTGCGACTACGCGACTGTACGAGGGGGTGGGGTACTATTACAGTATTTACGGTAAGTACGTAACTGTCCGTTATTTAAGCTCTTTTATAGCTATCGTATTCTTGAATTTCTTGAACTATTACTGATCCGCATGAACTAGAAATTTCGATAAAGAAAACGGCTGTTTTTTTTAATTTCCTTTAATTTGCGACTATTTTATCGTCTTTTCTTCATATAAACACAAAAAGACTAAATATTGATTACTTTCTGCTAACTTTTCTATTATTTATTCTAATCTATCAATGCTTTAGTGTTTTAGATTGTTAGAATCAACTTAAAGTGCTTTAGATTGTTAGATTGTTACAACTATAAGTGCTTTAGATTGTTAGATTCTTTAAGTTGTAAGATTCTAACAGTCTAAAGCACTTTAAGCTGTAAGAATCTAACAATCTAAAGCACTTATAGTTGATTCCAACAATCTAAAGCACTTTAATTTGTAAGATTCTAACAGGTTCTTACAGCTTAAAGTGCTTTAGATTGTTAGAATCTTACAACTATGTGCTTTAGATTGTTAGATTGTGCTAAGTGCTTTAGATTTTAAGCACTAAACAATTTATTGTAAATAAATCGATTCAAAAATTCAAATTTCAGAGGTCAATTGGCATCCGATGAAGCGATTAAACTAGCTGAAATTGAGCAAAAAATGCGAGAAGAAAGAGAACAAGAAGCAAAGAAACAAAGAGAGGAAATAATGAAAGAAAAGGAAATGGAAAAGAATGAAATGAGGTGAGCAATTTGATATAACTAATTTTTAAAAGAATCTTTTAGACGAAAAGAAATCGAAGTGGAAAGAGTGCGAGCTGAGCGGGATTTCGAGAAGAATCGAGCCGTCGAAGCGTCTCGGGAAATTGCGGCAATTGAGGAAATGCAGAGAAAGTGAGCTTTCATTTCTTTCGAAAATTCTTGTATCTTTGATAAAATTCTATAATTATAATAGATTTATTAGTATTAGAGGCCACTAAAAAGTGGCTGAGCTAGCTGAAATTTCAACCTGGCTCGGTTGAATCACTTTTTCACTTTTTCACTGTTCAAATTCGCATAAATTTTTCAATTCAGGCTAAACAAAAGCTTTTCAATATTTACAAGACTTTTTCAAGGTTACTGTAGCTTTAAAGCATAGATTACTACAGGCTTTTCAATACCGTATTCACTCTAATAACGCCGCCCCCCGCCCCACTCGACCAACTTTAGACTCCTCGTTCTCAGCCCCATTTTGAAATATTTTTATGTTTAATATACCAAAAGATAGAAGACATTTAGGGCTATTTTTTGCTATATTAAACATAAAAATATTTTAAAATGGGGCTAAGAAAGAGTCGTCTAAAGTTGATCGAGGGGTCAAGATCGAGGTCGAGTTGGTTGACCAACTTTAGACACCTAGCTTCAGCCCCATTTTGAAATATTTTTATGTTTAATATACCAAAAGATAGAAGACATTTAGGGCTATCTTTTGGTATATTAAACATAAAAATATTATAAAATGGCGCTGAGAACTAGGTGTTTAAAGTTGGACGACCAACTCGACCTCAATCTTGACCCCTCGACCCTCGGTCTACATAAATATTGAACAATCTGTTCTTTAAAGAGTGTTTAGGGATAAGATTATGAAAGATTTAAAATTCTATAATTTTCCAGACGAGCTCGCGAAGAACAAGAACGTTTGGACGCTCAATTGGCGGCTCGTCTTGCGGCTGAAGAAGGGACATTGGCTGATTTGCCTGCATCCACATCTTGGAAGTTTGTTCTTTTACAGAGTAAAGTTTGTAGTAAATTAAATATTTAGTTATTTAAATCATACGTTAAAAGAAACTGACAAGAGATGGTGAACTGGATACGCTGACCAAATGAGCTATAGATCATTCGACACGGAATTTCACACTGTATCCGAATCTAATTTTTGTTTTTGCTAAAAGGCACTCTGTCAAAAGTTATAAGCGCTCAAAGTTTTGTATGGAAAAATTTACAATTTCGTATTGTAAAAATCCCTCAAGTTTACTAGCAGATTTCCTAGAGAATTTCCAGGGCATTGGTGGCTGAATTGTGGTCAGCCAGAATACAAGACGAACCCTCTCAGGTTCAAGTCCGCAGTTCGACTTTCTTTGGCAGACTCGAACCCGAGAGGATTTTCCCTGTACTCTAACCGACTATCACTCAGCCATCACTGCTTATCACTGCTTATCACTGGCATCACTGCATTACTGGCCTCTGGAAAATCTCCTTATAAACTCAAGGGATTTTTCAATCCCAAAACTTTGAGTGCTTATAACTTTTGACAGAGTGCTGTTTAGGAAAAACAAAAATCAGATTCGGATTCAGCGTGAAATTCTGCGTCGAATGATCTATGGCTCATTTGGCCAGCTTATCCAGTTCACCTTCTCTTGTCAGTCAAAAAAAACTTCTCCCCATTCACTAAAGAAAACATTTCTTTCCCCTTTTTTTCCATCAATTTTCCCATTTGTGGCTCTTTTTTTTTCTTTTTCCTTTCGTTTCCCCGTTCAATTAGCATTAACACAAAAGAAAAGAAGCTTTTTTGTCAAAAAAAATACACATTCAAAGCATCTTTTGAAAAGAAAATGTCCATAAAAAATGTTTTTTTTTGTGCATTTTTTTCATCAACTGAATATCTATTCATTTCTAAAGGCTATACTAAATTAGCATTTAAATTATTCATCTTTTTAATTGTATATCTTGAAAGAAAGGGTTTTTGGCCATTTTCTAGAATTTTCATTGTTAGATTCCGATTATCCGAGCTCTAAACTAACCAACAATTTTTGACCAAAATACTCTCACTTTAAAGCCTCATAACTTTCATTAGAGATAATATTATTCACAGCTTTTATATTCATTGAATAGAGAACGTTTCAAGCTTTTAAATGATACCAAATAAAGTTTGATTGGATTACCCAGTCCAGAGAAAATCAGAGCCAACTCTGCGCGAATGGCCTATCCAACTCTATTGTCTTGTCGCCTTGTTTGCATGGGAATGAAAAATCCAGTCAACCTCTATTTGGTATCATTTTAAAGCCTGAAATGTTCTCTTTCAAACGATATAAAAAGTTAACCATAATATTATCGCTGAACAAAGTTATAGGCCTTCAAAGCCTGACGCCTCGTTGAAAATATTCGATTCCGATGACCAAACTAGTCTTCCATTAAAGCCTCATAACTTTCATTAGAGATAATATTATTCATAGCTTTTATATTCATTGAATAGAGAACGTTTCAAGCTTTCAATTGATACCAAAATTGAATTTAATTGATTTGAAAAATTTCGAGAAAACACCAGTTAAACTGAGCTGATTTCTGCCTTTCAGCTCATCAACCTCTTCCGGAAACAATAATCAGAAACGCGGGAAACACGATCTCTCAACGTGGAAATATGCCGAACTACGAGACACGATTAACACGTCGAATGGTTGGTCGAATGATTGTTTAAATCTAATTTTAAACATTCAAATGGTTGGGTGATTGTTTAAATCTAATTTTAACACATTTAGCGCTATGAATTGTATAGTAGAAGGCCAATTGGCTGTTCGCTTAATTAAAGGCTTTTTAGTCAAGCATTCAAACGTCAAAACCTTTTTTTTTACATCAAATTAATATTATTTAAGAGATTACTAATCAAAAAAAGTAATGTTTTTCTTAAAAAATTGAAACTGTGATTGATGGCGGATTCGAACCAGGGACCAAGCGCTAGAAAACTATCGAAGCGCTAGCACACTAACCACTAGACTATCGATACAGATTGCCAGGCCCGCGAGAACGCCTTAAGTAGGCTAGCTTACTGTTTGGCTCAGGCGAAATTCGAAATTCGGCGAAACTTTGAAGGCTTATATCTTGAGAACGGCTGATGAGAAGTTGGATTTGAAAGGAGTTTTGGGATGCGCTTAACCAGGGAATGTTTGCATCTCGAAATCAGATCTCTTCTGAAATTCAACTTCAAGAAATTCCCTGAGCAAACTAAGTAAGGTTTTGGCTTTTTTGAACTCATCATGGTCTCACGAGAAGTCCTGAAATGAAGTGTGAATTCAATTTTGACTCTCCTAATTGAGCAAAGAAGCTTGACACGTTTCTGTAGATGCTGTAGCTGAGATTACTGTAACCTGTAGTCTGTAAGTCTGTATGTAGCCTAGTCTTGCTAAAATCTTGTGCCATTTACCGAACTCATCATATCTTTTACTACCGTATTTTCTCTAATAGTAGAGCACCCAGAGCGTCACTTAAATTCCTCGAAATCTCGAGAACCGCTTATCAGAACCTATCGATGTGGGGTCGAAAAATGTAGCTGGCAATGAGATCTTGACGATGATTAGAGTGTTGAGCTACAGGGAAAACTTTGAAACCGTAAAATCGTCATCAACTCGGCTCACCGGGGTGCACTACTAATAGAGAAAATACGGGATTTTTTTGGAAAGCTGCTAAAGCTTTTGAAGGCTTTTGAGAGCTTTTGAGGCACCGTGAAACAGCGCCAATCGAGTTTATCGAGCTTTTTAAAGGGATTTCTTAATCGAATTGTTACTGGGATACGGGTTTGAGCACGTTTTTTTGCTCCAAGAATATGTTATGTTTTTTTTTCTTAGATATGGAATTGCTGCTAGCGTGCAAAGAGGAATTCCACCGTCGACTTCGCATCTACAACGAGTGGAAACAGAAAAACGCGTAAGTCAAGGGAAAAATCGATTCTAAAACTAGATCTAAAAAGAAGCTGATATAAAAGAATATTGAAACTATATTATAACTATGTTTAGCTACGTTTTAGCTACGTTTAGCTACGTTTAGCTACGTTTTGGCTACGTTTTAGCTGTGTTCTAGCTACGTTTTAGCTATGTTCTAGCTATGTTCTAGCTACGTTCTAGCTACGTTTTAGCTACGTTTAGCTACGTTTTAGCTGTGTTCTAGCTACGTTTAGCTACGAAATAGCTATGTTCTAGCTACGTTCTAGCTACGTTTTAGCTACGTTTAGCTACGTTTCGGCTACGTTTTAGCTGTGTTCTAGCTACGTTTTAGCTATGTTCTAGCTACGTTTTAGCTATGTTCTAGCTACGTTTAGCTACGAAATAGCTATGTTCTAGCTACGTTTTAGCTACGTTTTAGCTACGTTTAGCTACGTTTTAGCTGTGTTCTAGCTACGTTTAGCTACGTTTAGCTATGTTCTAGCTACAAAATAACTACGTTTTAGTAGTGAAAAGGAACGAGTTGAAGAGGCTCGTCGTGTTCCATTGGCATTAATGAATCCACAACAAACAAATGATACGATGCGGTGGATTGGAGCAAGTGGAGGTAAAGAAATAAGCAAATTTGATCTAGTTTTATATAATAAATACCGAAATTTAAATAGAAATCGATGGTTTTTAAGAAAAAGGCATAAATAGAAGTAGAAATAAGGCAAATTTGCTGTAAAAAATCGTCAAAAACCTTGATCTTTTCGTTTTTTAAGAGAACCCATCTTGAGAACAACTAAAAATTGTTTTTTTCAATCACAACTACCTTCAACTACCTTCAACTACCTTCAACTACCTTCAACTACCTTCAACTACCTTCAATTACCTTCAACTACCTTCAATAACCTTCAATTACCTTCAACTAGCTTCAACTACCTTCAACTACCTTCAATTACCTTCAACTACCTTCAATTACCTTCAATTACCTTCAACTAGCTTCAACTACCTTCAACTACCTTCAATTACCTTCAACTACCTTCAATTACCTTCAATTACCTTCAACTAGCTTCAACTACCTTCAACTACCTTCAATTACCTTCAACTACCTTCAATTACCTTCAACTAGCTTCAATTACCTTCAATTACCTTCAACTAGCTTCAACTACCTTCAACTACCTTCAATTACCTTCAACTACCTTCAATTACCTTCAACTAGCTTCAATTACCTTCAATTACCTTCAACTAGCTTCAACTACCTTCAACTACCTTCAACTACCTTCAATTACCTTCAATTACCTTCAACTACATTCTAAAACCTTTTTAAACATATAAAATATTATCTAGACTATATTTATTGTAGAATCTCCCCTTCAAAAACCCTTTCAGCTAGTCGAAACTCAGCCACACTCCAAGTAAATCCAGCTCTTTCCGCTCAACGCTTTTTCAAAGTTCCTTTCTCTTCTCGTTTACAACAAAACGGAAAAAATCCAGCTGGTTTGTTCAATTTTTTCTTTTAATTTAGTGTTTCTTTTAGATTTTCAAGTTTAAATCATTAATTTACAGTTTTTTTCGTTGAAACCGGCTCTCAACAAGGTGTTTGGTATGGGCATTTTAATGGACAATGGATTCAACGACAAATCGAACTCCATCCTGATAAACCACCTATTTTATTGCTTGCTGGTTTGTGGAAAACATTTTTATATAGATCTAATCTTCTTTAGGACGTGACGATCTCCAAATGTGCGAGCTGCCTCTCGATCAAACGCAATTACCATTGAAAAAGGTGAGCTTTTGAAAAACGCTTTTGAAAAACGGATTTGAAAACAACGGTTTTGTGAACTTTTTTCTTTGAAAGATTTGGGCAAACGCTTTAAAATATGACCGTAAACCATAAACCGACCTAAATCATGGTACCTTAGGTCTTATAAAGCAGTCAACTTAGTAAAACTGACTGTAACTCGTGACTACTGTAACCCAGATTGTGTCCTTGGTCAGCTAATAGCTAACAGCTAACAGCTAACAGCTAATAGCTAACAGCTACAGCTAACAGCTACAGCTAACAGCTACAGCTAACAGCTACAGCTAACATCAGCTAACCTTTAGACAGAGCAAAGATCTATAAAGATCAATCAACTCTATGAAAAGATACGCCGGGTTACGGTAGTCTGCGCACGTTTTACAGAGTGCGGCAGAATTCCGTAGACACCTCAATGCATCAGCCTCAATGCATCAGCCAAACACTAGACAAATTTCATTTCTTATCACACTGTATGAGCGCGCACTTTGAAGTCCCAAAACTCGGCTTAAAACGCCTTTTCCCAAGCTCTCGTTTTTTGGAATCTACGCATAGAACTACCCCAAGAAAAAGTGGTTTTGAAGGAAAAAAGTGCACCAGATCAAGTAGACTAGTATCAAAAAGAAAATACGGTTTTGCTGTAAGTAGGAAATTAGATGAAACTAGCAGCGGGGTAAAGTAAACAAGAACTAGAACTAGTAAACATGAATGCCACTCTGGTTGGTAACGAAAGATTCTCATCAGAAGCTCAATGATAAACTATTTTAGAGAAGATTTCATGCTTTTAAATGCTATTTAAAACTTAGCACTTTTAGATGAAATTTGCGTAGTGTTTGGCTGAGATGCATTGAGGTGACTACGGAATTCTGTCGCACTCTGTAAAGCTAGACCCAGACTACCGTAACCCGGCGTATCTTTTCCTAGAATTGATTGATTTTTATAGATCTTTGCTCTGTCTAAAGGTTAGCTGATGTTAGCTGTAGCTGTAGCTGTAGCTGTAGCTGTAGCTGTTAGCTGTAGCTGTTAGCTGTAGCTGTAGCTGTTAGCTGTAGCTGTTAGCTGTAGCTGTAGCTATTAGCTGTAGCTGTTAGCTGTAGCTGTTAGCTGTAGCTGTAGCTGTAGCTGTAGCTGTAGCTGTTAGCTGTAGCTGTAGCTGTTAGCTGTTGAGGTGCCTACAGAATTCTGCCGCATCGTGCCGCCTATGCAAGTTGGCGTAAAAATTCAAAGCAGGATACGATAAATTGGTTACTGTATAGAGTAAAGGAGACAAGATCTCTCCAAAGGGATTCAAATTTCAAACTTTATCTAGAAATTCAGGGAGCTGAGATTCTCGAGCACGAATTCGAGACAATTTGGGCGCATCTTGGCGGGAAACCGCTCGCCAAATGGAATCCGTGAATGAAAAATGAATTTTCGATCATTTTTCGATCAAATTTCTCGATTCTGTGATATTTTGCTTTTCTCTTAACCGTTTTTATGCTAATTTTCGCTTTTCTTTTCATTTTTTTTTACTCTTTTCTCTTTGTATGAGCAATAAAAAGAGTTTAATATCGGGTTTTTCTTTCAAAAAAAATCGCCTTTACTGATTCGAATTCTTCAAAATATAAAAATTTATTCAAAAAACTTTCAAAAATGACTAGAAACTTGAAAACTTGAAAAAAAATTGAACAAAAAAGACAATCTGAGCAAATTGAGAGAAAAAAAATTTGTTTTTTTATGGCTTGGGAAAAATCATTTGAGATCAAATGGTAAAATGGCAAATTTGGATACGAATTGGAATTTGCATACGAATTTTGAGTCCAAATTTGGATGCGAATTGGAATTTGTGTACGAATTGGGTTAAATTTGCATACGCTTTCAAATTTGGATACGAATTTCAGTCCAAATTTGGATGCCCTGGAATTTGCATACGAATTTCAATTCAAATTTGGATACGAATTGAAATTTGAGTACGAATTGGTTCAAATTTGGATACGAATTGAATTTGCATATGAATTTCAGTCCAAATTTGGATAGGGATTGGAATTTGCGTACGAATTGGTTCAAATTTGCATACGAGCTCCAATTTGGATACGAATTTCAGTCCAAATTTGGATACGGATTGAAATCGGCAAACGAATGAATTCGAATTTAAATCTGGAGACTAATTTCAATTCAAATTTGCATACGAGTCCAAATTTGGATACGAATTGGTTTAAATTTGCATACGGACTCGAAAAATTGAATACGAATTCAAATCGACAAACGAATGAATTTAAATTTGGATACGAATTCACATTTGCATACGAATTTCGACTCGAATTTGCATACGAGTTCAAATTTGGACACGAATTGGTTGAAATTTGCATACGAGCTCGAATTTGAATGCGAATTTAAATCGGCAAAAACGAATGAATTCAAATTTGCATACGAGTTTCAATCGAAATTTGCATACGAATTCCAATTCAAATTTGCATGCCAATTGGTTGAAATTTGAATACAATTCCAAATTTGCATACGAATTGAAATCGACAAACGAAATAAATGCAAATTTGTAGACAAATCTCAATTTCAAATACTCGGCAAAGCAATCCGAAAATCCGTACAAATTTCAATCGAAAATCCTCCATTAAACAATTGAAAATTCTACATTGAAAAGGAAAACATAAGAAAATGAAACATAAGAAAATAAAACATAATAAAACATACCGTATTTCTTCGAATGGAAGACCGGGTAAAGAGTATCATCGCGTACTCCTGCGTAGCAGCCCTTTTTAAAATTTCTTTTCTGCATAAAAGCTTTCAATCAAGTGCTATAGAGCTGGAAAATGGCTGTTCTGTTCTGTCAAAAATCTGTTAGCTCAATCTGTTAGCTCAGTATTTTTGAGTCATTTTCCAGCTCTATAGCACTTGATTGAAAGCTTTTATGCAGAAAAAAAAAGGGGCTACGCAGGAGTACGCGATCATACTGTTAACTAGCGCGACCGGGTAAAGACCCGGTCTTCTATTCGAAGAAATATGGTAATAAAACATAATAATAATCTGCGCATTGTTTAAACGACACTCATCTTACTAATAGATTACGATAGTTTATTAGTTTTTAAAAATCTAACATACGATTACGGTAAGGCAAAGAAAAGGCGACAAGGGGGAAATGGAAATGGGGAAATGGGACAAGAAATCGATTGCTTTTTTTGGGTTAAAGTAATTGGGAAACGATTTAGAAATGGTATTGGTTTTGGTTTTGAGTTTAAAATGAAAAAAAAAACAACATTTGTACTTAAGAGAAATTGAGTTTTTTTAGAGAAATTTCGAAATTTTCGAAAATAAAAAATTTTAAACAAATTTAACGCAAATCTATCAGTATTTTACGCTCAAATTTCTCAAAACGCAACCAATCTCGTGCACTGAAATCTCCCTTTTTCTGTTTTTCTCTTTTCAAGCAAAGATTTCATCGTTTTTGAGGCGAAAACAACGATTTCAGTGCACCAGAAAGATGCGTTTAAAGAAAGTTGAGCATAAAGAACACCAAGAAACAACAGAAACAAACGTGTGCACTTTGAACTTCTGTAAACGCATCCCTTCTAGTGAACCTTCTAGTTCTAGACTTGCAGAATAAACAATGAAAGATAAGGTTAAAATTAAATTTTCTAAAAATAAAAAAAATAAAAAAATAATCAATTTCAAATTTTTCTGTGCTATCCAACTAAGAAAAAAAAACAAAATTTCATAAAAATTTGTCTATTCAAAAAAAAGTTAATAAGGTGAACACGTTTCAGAAGCTATTTCTTTCAAAAACCGCAATGTTTCGACTTAAATTTCTCTTGATAAAAGCTCTGGCGAGATGCTCTGGCGGATTACGATAGTTTTTTGAGAAGTAGTGAACAGATTACTGTAGATTCTCAGCTACTATAGCTTATAAGCTGACGATTCTCAGCTACTATAGATTAAAAGCTGACGATTCTCAGCTACAATAGCTTACAAGCTAACAATTATCAGCTACTATATTAGGTTGGTGCAAAAGAAATTTCGGTCGATATAAAATGTTCTTATTTTTTTAATCTGAAGAGCTTATTTGATGTTCTTTTGTGCATTTGTACTCTTGGATATTTACTTTATTTTCGCATTTTTTCAAAGTCAGAGCTTTCACTTTTTAATTGATTTTTGCTTTAGATCATGGTGGATCAAAAGTATGTTCTGCGCACGTGTCTTCTCTATGACTTCAAAATGGGCAAAAACGCTGCTGATTCACATCGTGATCTCTGTTCCGCCTTTGGAGAACAGGTTATCACCGAAAGATCATGCCAGCTCTGGTTTGCCCAATTCCGAGATGGTAATGAATCCCTTGAAGACGAATCGCATGGACATCGTGCCACAGCCATCGACAACAATGAATTGAAGCTGATCCAATGCAAACAACACGAGAACTTGCCAAACATCTCCAATTCAACAATTGTACGCCATTTGGAAATAATTGGAAAGACAAATCGTAATGGACAATGGGTTCCACATCAATTGAGTGTTGAGAATCTGGGAGCACGCGTTCCGATCAGCCATATCTTGCTCCAGAAGTCGAAAAGAAGCCATTTTTTTGAGAATATCTTGACGATGGATGAGAAGTGGATTCACTTTGATAATACTTCTCGAAAAAGACAATGGCTGAGCAAAGGTCAAGCGCCAATTCCAACTCCAAAGCCGGATTATCATGGGCGCAAAGTGATGTTGTCTTGCTGGTGGAATATCAATGGACTTGTTCATTTTGAATTATTAGAGCCCGGAAAAACAGTCGATTCATCTTATTTTATTCAACAACTCAAGAAGGTTGACGAAATTTTGCGTGAAAAAGGCCTAAATCCCTCAACTATCAACTTTCTCCGTGATAATGCTCCAGCTCACACGGCAAAAACCTCTTGTAAGGAACTAGAGAAGCTAGGATGGAAGGTCTTACCACATGCGCCGTATAGTCCAGACTTAGCACCCTCCGATTTTCACCTTTTCAGATCGATGCAACATTCCCTTGAGAATTGCCAGTTTAAGAATGCAAAAGAAGTCGAAAATTGGGTGACCAACTACTTTGCATCACAGAATCAAGCGTTCTTTGAGAAGGGGATCCGCAATCTGTAGCAACGTTGGAGGGATGTCATAGATAATAATGGTGCTTATTGTTTTAAATAAATTGTTATCAAAAAAGATTTTGGATGACTTTAATGTTTGTAAAAAAACGAAATTTCATTTGCACCAACCTAGTAGCTTACAAGCTAAAGATTCTCAGCTACTATAGCTTATAAGCTGATGATTCTCAGCTACTATATATTAAAAGCTAACAATTCTCAGCTACTATAGAGTAAAAGCTAAAGATTTCACCGAAAAGCGTTGTTTACAGATCTAAATACCTCAAGCTCATGTTTCTCGATCTTTCTATCTAAATCTTATTCTGTTCCGAGTGTTTCCTCTCGATTTCTCTTTCTTCTCTTCTTTGCAACATACTCCCGAATAATCCCATGTATTTTCGCTCGCTTTTCTTCTTTCCATTTGACGTATTTCTGTTTAAACCACTAGCTGGCATTTGCACGGATAAAGCGTCAGTGTAGGTTCTAAAAGAGAAATTGTTTTTGAGTGATAGAGGAAGGGAAATGCCTCCTCCTAGCATTGGATAGTCACACAAACTATTGGTATTGGTATTGGTATTGATAACTTCTTGGTATTGGTAACTTATTGATAGAGCTTTTGGCTGATAACAATAGCGAGAAGTGGCTGGTTCGAATCCATGTTTGTTATTCAAACTTCAAACAATAAAAGAAGCGTGTCGAACTATGGTTTAAGAATGAAGCTGTTTAGTAAAGCTGTTTAGTAAAACTATTAAGTAAAGCTGTTTAGTAAAGCTGTTTAGTAAAACTGCTTAGTAAAACTTTCTAGTAAACCTCTAGAAGGTTTTTGGATTATTTCTGTAAATGTTATTCGTACCTGGGTGGTGATGGGACTCTCTCGATGTCATGCAAAGAGTAACTCGGATTGTTGAGATGCCATAGCGAGTGAGCGGGTGAGGTGAAATTCGCACAACAGAGATGAGGATTCGGCGAATGAGCTTGAGGAATTGCATGTGGAATGGGGGAATGGCAGCCTGGAAATTGCTGTGTTTCCACCAGAAAAGTACTCTTTGATAAAGATTGTCTCACATCGAAAAGGACAATACCTAGTAGACGAAAAGCTAATTCAATCTATGGTCTTCAATCCAGGTAAACCAGACCGGAGCCTGAGCAAGCACTGGCTTCAGATCAAAGACTGGATTCAGATCTGGTTTAGGTCAAAGACTGGATTCAGATCTGGTTTAGGTCAAAGACTGGATTCAGATCTGGTTTAGATCTGGTTCAGATCTGATTCAGATCAAACCTGGATTCAGATCTGGTTACTCAAGCCAGAGCCAAGCAAAAGCTAGGACTTATTGTGGCTTTGGCATATTAGGATACTTCTCATGGCTCAGGTTAAGCCTGGCCTTGGAACAAGCTTGGCCCAGCTACTGGCCACATCAGCCATGTCAGGCTAGAGTTAAAGCTTGGCCACATCAGGTAAGCCTTCACATCAGCCACGTCAGGCTAGAGTCTGGCCAATCTCCAGTCAGGTTCAGGAATTTAATATGAGCCTTCAGTCCATGGGTTTGTAATCCAATCAGTCCCAGAACCTGGCAAAAGCAGCAGAACCAGAACCAGAACCAGAACCAGATGCTAGATACCAGGCCAGCTAGATACCAGGCCAGCTAGATACCAGGCCAGCTAGATACCAGGCCAGCTAGATGCCAGGCCAGCTAGATGCCAGGCCAGCTAGATGCCAGGCCAGCTAGATGCCAGGCCAAATCTAGGGCTAGCTCTGGCTTTTCTCAGGTAAAGCTTGGCTTTGACTTAGCCAAACCAACCCAAATATTTAACTAGATCAAAACCAAGATCAATATTAGCTCAATTTACCTGAGCATAGAGCTTTTTGGTAGTTTATTTGTGGGCAATTTGGTGAATGTGGTGAACAACATCTGAAAGGTAACAAATTAATACAAAATTTATAAAACAATCGAATTTTTGGTACTTGTCGACATCCCACAGAGACTCAACTCGCTAAAATAAAAAGCTGACAACTTTTGAGGAGTGATTATGTTCAATGAAGTCGAGTGCTCGTTTGAAGTGATCAGTCGATCAGGTCGGACGAGAGTCGATGCTTAACACAGTCGCGACAAGGCGTTACTCCAGTGGACGCTACTCCAGTGGACGCTACTCCAGTGGACGCTACTCCAGTGGACGCTACTCCAGTGGACGCTACTCCAGTGGACGCTACTCCAGTGGACGCTACTCCAGTGGACGCTACTCCAGTGGACGCTACTCCAGTGGACGCTACTCCAGTGGACGCTACTCCAGTGGACGCTACTCCAGTGGACGCTACTCCAGTGGACGCTACTCCAGTGGACGTTACTCCAGTGGACGAGGGGTTTCTCGCAAAGCTATTAGTCCCGAAATACACCTCCTATTTGTAAAGTTTCATGCTGAATCCGAATCTCTAATCAGATTTTGAAAATCTTGCTGCCTCAAAAAGATATCGACTCTTTTTGGTCCACCGGTGGACCGAATTGTCCCAGGGCCCTGACAGCCCTCGTCCACCGGTGGACCGAATCGTCCCGAACACGTTAAAAACGAATCCACCAATTCAAGAACATTTTGTTCTATTATTTACAAGTCGACTCCAAGAAATTACTCGTAAAAAAAGTAAAATAGTCATCAACTCGGCTCGGCGTGGTACTGTAAATCGAACTACTGTAAATCGTAAATCTTAGCAGTCTAATGTCTAGTGTGTAAAAGTGTCTGCGTCAAGCCTAAGGAGCTAGATTTAGGCTCAAAACAATAGTAGCCGGTCTAGAAGCAATTTGCGGCACTACTATTAGAGAGAATACGGTAGTACATAGCAGCGATAGGGTAGCGCATAGCAAAAAGTATTTCATTACCGTAAACTTTAAACTCGTATAACTTTTGATAGGGTAGCGCATAGCAAAAACTGAAACCATATTCGGAATCCCAGGGGCCAGACGGTCTTCGTTCACCAGACCGAATTGTCCCAGGGCCCAGACAGCCTTCATCCACCGGACCGAATTGTTGCAGGGCCTAGATAGCCTTCGTCCACCGGACCGAATTGTCGCAGGGCCTAGATAGCCTTCGTCCACCGGTGGACCGAATTGTCGCAGAGCCCAGACGGCCTTCGTCCACCGGTGGACTGAATTGTCCCAGGGCCCAGACAGCCTTCGTCCACCGGACCGAATTGTCCCAGGGCCCAGACAGCCTTCGTCCACCGGTGGACTGAATTGTCCCAGGGCCCAGACAGCCTTCGTCCACCGGTGGACTGAATTCTCCCAGGCGCCAGACGGTCTTCGTCCACCGGACCGAATTGTCCCAAGGCCCAGACAGCCTTCGTCCACCAGTGAACCGAATTGTCCCGAGCGTGTTACAAGAGATGAGTCTTTGTGAATGTCTAACCGACAAGTACCGAATTTTGTTAGAGTTGACTAACATGCAACATTGATCAGTGATTTCTTTTGCGATAAATTTCATGCATTTAACAGTTAGTGGGTTTTTGAAGAAAGATTTCAACATCACAGTCTACAAAATTTTTTCATTTTTCACATGCTCAACTTACCATGAAGTTATCCTTGGATTATTTGGCTAAAACGTTTTTTTTTTGATAAATTTAATAGTAAATCAAATGATTTAGATACTTTAGATTCGTTTTTTTTTTTGTTTACAGTCCGTTAGAGTCCGTTAGAGTCCGTCAAAACAGACAAAGAATGGTTTTTTGGGTGATCAGACATTTGATACGAGAAAATGTTATAACTTTTCGTAGAGTTGAGCAAATTTGATGATTTTTGCGTCAAAATGTTCATAAGAGTCTCTAGAATAAAAGTTATCTCTTCGTTTTTGGTTCTAGACCCTGATTGTCGAGTTACGAGCCCCAAACTGCAGGGTACCACAAAATTTCCCCATACAAAATGACCAAAAAAACTGCTAAAACTAAATTTCTGTTAGAGGGATTTGGAAAATTCCTTCAGATTCGGAATCAGCTCAATTTTCCACATCTAAAAAAGGTACTCCTAGAAAAATCCGATAGAAAACGCATTTTTGCCTTATTTCACGCCGATGTGCGCCCCACCCGCCCCTTTTCCCATTGCCATAACTTTGAGCTTAAATATCTCGGTGTTGAGCTGTCCAATTTCAATCTTCTTCGTATCATTAGATTCGCCAAGTCTTTCTCTATCGATTGCTACCAAAAACTATTGAAATTGAACAGCGGAACGCCAAGAAATTTGAGCTCAAAGTTAGATTGCCAATAGAAAAAGGGGCAAAATGTTCATTCAAACTGTTAATTCAAATTTCAAATCTAATAATTGAATTATTAGATTTGAACCGTATTGGAACCATATTGGAACCGTATTGGAACCGTATTAGATCCAAAAAAGAACCGTATTGGAACCGTATAACCGTAAACCGTGACCTAGTCTCACAAAAGACGGTCAATCGGGTGTGGTGGCCAAATGACATGAGCGAAATGACAGATCATTCGACGCAGAATTTCACGCTGAATCCGAATCTGCTTTTGATTTTTGCTAAACAGCACTCTGTCAAAAGTTATGCGCATGCAAAGTTTTGTATAGAATTGCTGAAAAAAGGGCCTCGAAAAACATCCCTCGAGTTTACAAGCGGATTTCCCAGAGGTTTTTGAAAGCAGTGGTGGTAGTTGGCAGTGGCAGTTGGCTAGAATACAAGGGCAACCATCTCGCGGTTCCATTCCGCGATTTGACACTTTCTGTGGAAAGAAAGTCAAACCGCGGACTCGAACCAGAGAGGGTTTGCCCCGTACTCTAAGCGACTGCCACTCGGCCATCACTGCTTATTAAAGCCTCTGAAAAATCTCCTTATAAACTCAAGGGGATTTTTCATTTTCATACAAAACTTTAATCGCTTATAACTTTTGACAGAGTACTGTTTAGCAAAAATCAAAAGCAGATTCGGATTCAGCGTGAAATTCTGCGTCGAATGATCTATGAATGATCTATGAATGGTCTATGAATGATCTTCCTCAGGCCACTGCACCCGGTTGGCCTTTCCTTGTGATTGTTTGTGCTAAAATAGGTTCTAAAAAGCTGATGCATTAGATAATCGCAAAATTTTCTCTATTTTAAGTACTGTTCTTTTAAGTACTTCTAGGCTTTGAATGGATTTTGTTTCACAAAAGTTCTCGCGGAATCAACTTCATCCATGCAATGCCGGAATTTCTTGTGTTTGATGGGAGTTTTAATCAAGATCAAGCTCTTGTTTTGATCAAGATCAAGATCCAAATCAAGTTTGATGAAATTTCTGTTTCATTAAACCCATGAAAAACTTGTCTAAAGTGTCTAAAGTTATTCAAAAATTCAAAAAAAGTGACGTCACTTTAGCTGAAGGAATTTAAAATCGATTCAAGTGCCTTTAAAGGCACCCAAATCGATTCAAGTGCCTTTAAAGGCACTTAAATCGATTTTAAATCTTAAATGCTGACCTAAAGATTGAAGTTTGAGCCGGAGTTCGATGGTGGAGCGGTGCGTCGAATCGACGGGGTGCGTCGCCACATTGTCGACTCGCGAGAGGTACGCATCTGGAAATGGGAATGATTCATTCAACCTCTCTTACTTTGTACTTTGTACTCATTCGTACTCTGTATATTGTACTCATTCGTACTCTGTACATTGTACTCTGTACTTTGAAAAAGCATCAGCACTGAATCATCAGCATCACCCCTCTGAATTCCTTATCTTTCTCTCATCTAACAAGAAAAATCAAGAACCCCAATCGAGTCCGAATGAGCACAAAGTACAAACGCTGAACAGCAACAGGTTAACGACAAAATTTCAACGGATATTCAGGTAAATTCTCATCCATTTTTACAACACGCACACTCCTCGTGCTTTCATTTTTTCATTTTTTTTCTTTCAACTGAAATAAATGTTGAGTGAAATCATTGCTCGAATTTTACCTTGTACACAGGGGATTCTCCTCGAATCTAATCATTGAAATGGTTAAAAAAAACACACACAAAAAGACACTCAAAATAGTTTGAAAGGTGAAAAGTTGAATGGTTTAAAGGTTATCGGAAAGGAAAACGAGTTATTTTTAACTTTTTTAAAGAATACCAAATTGTCAAATGTTTATAGTGCTCGTAAAACTATTGTAAATCGTAAAACTTAGCAGTCTAAGCAGTGTGTAATCTTAGCAGTGTGTAAAAGTGTCTGCGTCAAGCCTAAGGAGCTAGATTTAGGCTCAAAACAATAGTAGCCGGTCTAGAAACAATTTAAATTCTGGATCGTGTTTAAGTCGAATTTTTAGTTCTTGTTCTAGTTCTAGTTCTAGTTCTAGTTCTAGTTCTATTTCTAGTTCTAGTTCTAGTTCTAGTTTTAGTTCTAGTTCTAGTTCTAGTTCTAGTTCTAGTTTTAGTTCTTGTTCTAGTTTTAGTTCTTGTTCTAGCTCTAGTTCTAGTTCTAGTTCTAGTTCTAGCTCCAATCTCTAGCTCTAGCTCTAGCTCTAGTTCTAGTTCTAGTTCTAGTTCTAGTTCTTGTTCTAGTTCTTTTTCTAGTTCTTTTCTAATTAGGAAATTAGAGAAATAAACTCCTTTTCCTTTCTCATTCATCTTTTCATCTCTCTTTTCTCTTTTCTTTTACTTTAAACTACTGTAATCTTATCTAATTTTATCAAATCTAATAACTTTTTATGATTTTCTTTTCATTTATGTTGTTTTTAATGTTTATATTGTTTTGTTTTAATGTTGTTTGTTGTTGTTGTTGTTGTTTGTATTGGGTTGGGGAGAATGAGTCGGCGCCGAAAATGAAAGAAATTTCTAAAACTTATAGCAGACTTTGTCAAATGATATGCGTTTGATATCCGTAGAAGGGTAACTAATTCTCTACAAAATAATATTTAAAAGAGAACTCAAACAGCGCCTCAACTCAACAAAGGATCATTTTTTCACAAAATCGATAAACTGTCATCTAGAGTAAACGGTTGGAGGGATCTTCGTGAAAATTTGGTAACTTATGTAATTGAGTGTGCTCTATCTTTTTTATATAAACACCAAAGGAGGTTTATGTGGAAGAAACTGTTCAAGCAATGAGTCGGACTTTTTGTCATTTTGATTAGCTGTGTTTGGGAATCCATAAAATCCCAAAAAAGAAAAGCTTTGTGGAATCTCTCAAAAGCCATTTTGTAAAGAAATAGTCGACCATTTTGATGAAACAAAACGTGTATTTAAAGAAGGTTTTATGGGTGCAAAAAGTTTCTTTAAATTTCGGCGCCGACTCATTCTCCCCAACCCAATAGTTGTAGCTGTTGTAGCTGTAGCTGTTGTAGCTGTAGCTGTTGTAGCTGTAGCTGTAGCTGTAGCTGTAGCTGTTGTTGTTGTTGTTGTTGTTGTTGTTGTTGTTGTTGTTGTTGTTGTTTTTCTTTAGGAATTTGCGTGACTGATCTCGTTAATCGGTCTTGAACAATTGCGATCGGATTTTGAATAAAAATTGATTTTACGCTAACCCTATGTTTACGCCCGGCTAGAATGTGAATCTGAATCTCATTCGGGAGACGAACACCCGACTGAGATTTAGCTTTATTCCCGCGGACCTCGAAATTTGAAATTTGATTAATGTGGTGGCAATTTCGAGTTATCTTCTTCTCGTCAAGATGGTTAACGATGGATATTGAGTATGAAATGCAGAGGATATTGACTAGTTGATAAGAAGCGGACGCGCTGTACCCACGATTTTCGAAAGAGAATTTTTTTCCCCGATTGACATCCCCGTTTTTTTTGTCAGCTTTGAGCTAAAGGAGTAAATCTCAAAGTAGCAGTAAAAGTAGCATAAAAAGTAGCAGTAAAAGTCGCATAAAAAGTACAATAAAAAGTAAATAGATTAGCTAAAAAAAATCGAAAAGATTACAGTAGTTTAGAACAAAAAAAAAAGAAATCTTTAGAAAGTAATCCTTTTTTTTTCTGGTTTTTTTTTTCACTCACCTCGCCGTCACCCACAACTCGTGGCATCGAGCCGCCTCGGAACTCGATCTCGTACTAAAAAAATTGACAGATTAAAACGATTTGGAATTGTTTTTTTAAAGGCAAAATCACATTTATCGCTTTCTCCACAAGCACTAAAATTTGGCTGACATTTCGCGAAATGACATCACTTGAAAATAGGTTCGAAAAAACGGTAAAACAATAAAACAGTAAAAGAGTAAAAAAAACTGCTTTGTTTAACTGAATATTAACTGAATATCAGCACTTAAAGCGTTCTAGTGATTTCAAATGACCAGAAAGCGTTCCAGTGATTTCCAGAACGTTTACTGTTTTTGAAAAAAAAACAAAATTTTTTGGCCCAGCGCGGACTCGAACTTGAGACTTGAGGTGATTGGTCGTCTACAAGGCGAGCGCTCTATCCCCTAGGCCATGGAGGACCTTTGAGACCGACGCGTAAATGCCTCTTAATGGTAGGTCAAAGGTTTTATCTGGCCATTGCCTTAAAAACAATATTTTGATACTTATGATATTCAGCTAACAAACTACTGTAATACCGTTTTCCCCACCAATTTTCGCTTTTAAAAATTCATTTTTTTTTTAAATGTGCAGGTGCTTTTCAACGGGTTAAGAGAAAAAAAGAAACTAAAGCAATTTTTTTAAAGAATTCTCTACAATCTATTGGATAAGATTTTGTAGGGTAAGGTGAGAATTTTTTTTGTTTTTTTTTTTGGATAAATATCTAATTTCGAAATTTCTTTTCTTTTACCACAAATCACCAGATGAGTGTTTCTTTTTCGATCGAAAAACTCGTGAAAAACTTACGTGTTATTCTCGGCAAACTGGAATTGAATAAATGGATCGTATTAGTTGAATGGATTGCTGTAGATTTGTTCTTTTCTTTACGAATCATTGCCTAATCCCTGGCTACCGCGTTTGAACTAGGGCTGAACTGAAAAACTTGTGCGCTGTCGGGGCTCGAACCCGCGACCTTTCGCTTACCGGGCAACTATGACATTACACCACTTGATCTCCCTTACTCCAGAGAGAGTTAACTACCGTAATCTCTGGCTACCGTAATATCTGGCTACCGTAATATCTGGCTACCGTAATATCTGGCTACCGTAATATCTGGCTACCGTAATATCTGGCTACCGTAATATCTGGCTACCGTAATATCTGGCTACCGTAATCCCTGGCTACCGTAATCTCTGGCTACCGTAATCCCTGGCTACCGTAATCTCTGGCTACCGTAATCTCTGGCTACCGTAATATCTGGCTACCGTAATATCTGGCTACCGTAATATCTGGCTACCGTAATCTCTGGCTACCGTAATTCCTGGCTACCGTAATTCCTGGCTACCGTAATCCCTACGATCACTTGAGCCTGTAAGCTTAGCACTAAAAAATGCACGTATCTAAGTAAGATTACGGTAGGATTACTGTAAATTTCCGGCTTTTTCTTAAAAACATCTCGTATTGCTAAAGAAATTACTGTATCACTGCTGCTTTGAAGATCTAAGTGTAGAAAACGATAAAAAATGATTCAGTTACCATATCCTATCGAAAACTCGGATTACTGTACTTTGTTTAGAGTCACTATGAGGCTAAAAGGCTAAAAAGGATCCAGCTACCGTATCAAAGGTCGTACAGGCTTGCTGTAAGTCTTTTTCTTTGCTAAAAAGCGACTTAGTTACCGTAATCTGCAATATATTTGTTAAAAATAGCAATATTTAAGAGTAAAGAAGAGTTTAGAATTCGATTTGGGGTAGGCTAGTTTCCGCAACTTTTTTTTGCGCAACAGGGTTATTTGCGCAACTGGGTCGTTTGCGCAACTCGTCATAACTTTCTTCTAAATGGGCCAATCTTGATGAGTTTGGTGTCATTTTGTAGATCTCAATAAGTGCAACAAAATGAAGCCAAAATGATAAAGATTGGTTCACTTACAAGAAAGTTATGTCGAGTTGCGCAAATGACCCAGTTGCGCCAATGACCCAGTTGCGTAAATGATCCTGTTGCGGAAACTAGGCTACCCCTTAGATTTAAATTAGAAATAGTTTTCCTCTCACCTTCGTGGCGCAAACGAACGAAGCTGTGACAAGTTTCGCGATCTCATTCATCAAATTTTTCGTCTCTTGAATCACCGAATCAACCTAAATTTTAGGTTTTGATAAAAATAAATAATGAAATCACATTTAAATATCAAAAAAGCAATTACTATTCTGTTATTGCTATTTATTTTGGATAATTTTCGATTAAAGCCCTTCGAGGACAAAAGGACAAACCTTCCCGAAAGTAGCTGTTTTTCCGACGGTCGGACTCTTCACTAGTACCTGAAAAATTTGCATAACTTTAAAATAAATCCAATATTCAGTTAATCCAAAATATTCAGTTAATAGATTTATATATTAGGAAAGATTTAAGCTCTAAAATCTTGTACTTGTAGCTGCTGGCAGTGAACGGGAATCTTCTCCAGAATCGCTGACAATTCGCTCTTCTCAGCACTGCCTGGTACCTAAAAAAATCGATCTAAATCTATCTAAATTGAGTCAAATTTAAAGCCTAACACAACTACCGTACTTTCTGATCATTTTTTTACAGTAATCCTTTCAATATCCACTAATTTTCGTCGCATTTTCGTCTCATTTCACATCCTTCATTCCACCCATCCTAATAGCCCTTTCTAGGCTCATATTTCTATTATTTATAAACGAAAACGATTGATTTCTTTTTTTAAAATGAAAATACATATCATTTACTGTATATATTCAAGATTTCATTATCATAGAATCAATAGAGAATTTTTTATGAACTCTTAAAAATAATCGAAGAAAATTTCTCAAAAAAATACGTCAAATTTAGGATTTTTAAACAAAAACCCACAAAATCATTTTTTCTTTAGACTTTTTCTTTCTAAAGGTTGTTTATGTTATGTTTAGATAGATTTAATTTTTAAAAAAATAGAAATTCTTTAATATTTTCTATAAGATCATTGCCAAAGAAGCATCAAATTTGAGTGGAGGCGATTTTTTGAGCAGCCATTTTTAAGCGTTCATAAAAAATTCTCTATTCATTTTATGGTCATGAAATCTTGAATATCTACAGAAAATGATATGAGTTTTCAGTTAAAAAAAGAAATGAATCGTTTTAGTTTACAAAAAAACAGAAATCTGAGCCTAGAAAAAAAAGGGTTAAGCTATTTCTGGGCACCCCAACATTCAACATTTTCTTAAAGGCTTAAAAAGCTTTTTTTTTAATGAACATTTGTCCACTTTTTAATGTCATTAAGCTAGCTTTTATATCTATTATTTTAAAATTCTTTTAGTTTCAAGATTTTTCTAATTAAATTCAGCTAATATCGAAAAAAAAAACTCACCTCATAGCTGAACTCGCGCACCGTTTTGTACATTTTGTTCGCTTGCTCGGCAAAGAATTCAGCCTAAAATAGTGAAAGATTAAAAGAATCATTTAGCTACGCGTATCCGTAAGCATTACCTAGTCACTCTAGCTCTATAAATGCAAAAAAAAACCTGTGTGAAGCCTTGCTAATGCAATAAATCTTTGTAAAACGTTGCTAATGCAATAAACCTATGTGAAACATTGCTAATGCAATAAACCTGTGTGAAAAGATCGTGTGTCGTTCGCAATGGTCCATCACCACGTGTGAATAGGTACATATTGTAAGCCATTGAAGACATTGCCTAAAGAAATTTACTTTAAATTCGCTAATCCGTTTTCGCTAATCTCTAAAAGAGATCAATTTTCAAAAGCAAAGCTTTTCAAAAGCCTTTTTCAAAAGCAAAAGCCAAAAAGCTTGAATCTGCCGGCTAGTTTTCATCAAATTAGCTCAATTTTTCTATCATTAATAGAGCCTTTTGATTCTTTTTATTTAATGATACCAAAGTTAAGCGAATTTTGCATTAAATGAGACAAAAATTGAGCTAATTTCATGGAAACTGACGGCCACATTAGTTTACGAAAATCTCTGTCTTTTAGAAAACGGATTAATGAAAAGCTCAAAAATCTCTCAAATTTACCCCTACCTTTTGCCCTTTTCACAATGTCATTCTCGGCATACTCATCCCATTTCTCGGCTTCAGCGTCAACCTAAAAAGAAAAATTCTCTCAATCCATCAATATCCCAAAAACAAAAATTCTCTCAATCCATCCATCAATATCCCATTTAGAAAACGTATAAGCCACGATTTCATTCAAATATTTTATCATCAACCTTCATAAACTCCAGAAAGTTTCACCCATTATCCTCCACTCACCTCCGATGTCAGCAATTTCATCTCCAATCCAACTTTGGCCATCTTTTGTTGATCCTAAAGAATTATTATTTAGTTTTCAAATTTCACCCAAACCTCGACATCCAAAGTGATCGGCTTTGAGGGTTTCGTGGTGGTCCCGTGTTTCTAAACTCGTTTTTCAGAAAACAACCAAGATCTTCATTTTCATTTCAATTCCAAGATCTTCAATTCCATTTCGATTTCAATTTTTTACAATAAGATTGCAGAGTTAAAGAAAATGATAGTTTTAGAAAAAAAACGGATAAACAGAGATAAGATTCTTTTCAAAAAAAAGAACAACTCTGCAATCTTATTGTAAAAAATTGAAATGGAAATGAAATTACTATCAGAATAATACTATCAGATAATACTACAATAATACTACAATAATACTACAATAATACTATAATAATACTATAATCTTGGAATTGAAATGAAATTTTTAAAAAAATTATATTTTTAAAAATGAAAGCAAATAGACTCAGTTTTGAGACAAACTACCGTAATCTCGTCCAATTTTTGTCTGATTCTGTGAGATTCATAAAGAATTTCGAAACGATATAAAAATAAATAGATTAGTTTAAAACAAAGGAGACAAAAATTACGGTAGTTTGTCTAAAATTGAAAAGATTACGGTAGTTTGAGGCAAAGGGTAGTTGTTAGAAAAGAAACTTTTTGCTCTACGGTTAACATATCTCAATTTCCAATTTCTAAATCGACTTATCGACTTAACTAGCGTAAATCTACAGTAGTGTTGCTTGTTATTCTTAGATAATAATACTACAATAATACTATCAGATAATACTATCAGATAATACTACAATAATACTACAATAATACGACAATAGTACTACAATAATACGACAATAGTACTACAAGAATACTATAATAATACTACAATAATACGACAATAATACTATCAGATAATACTACAATATTAGATCAAAAACGGCTAAAAATGAAAGCAAGTAGACTCGTTGGGATTGAGCTCATTTGAGGATCCGCAAAAAAATCGCCTCCAAAACTCCAATCAAAAAACTTTTCATACAGAAGTGTAGGCAAGAATCGAGCCTTCAATTCTCCATACAACACTTAGAGGTTTCGAATTGATTGCAACGTTTGGCATGCAATCTGTTGAAAGGGTATGACCGTGATTTTGGCGCATCTGAGAAATCGGCCGCAAAAAAAAACTCCAATTCAATCCAATTCAATCCAATTCAAAACATATTAAGGGATTAGACTCATGCTGATGCTTTATCGTGTTAGTCTTTTTCTTGTCTCTTTTTTTCCTTCATAACACTCCATTTATTACCACAATAGAACACAAAAAAAAATCACGATTTTCATGCAAAAAGTCGCAAAATAAAAAAGTTTGAGCATTTTCTTGATTATTACAAAGCACCAACACAACACATGCACTTTTGGGATAATCGGTAAAACAAAACAAAAAGTAATAAATGCTTTTAAGTAATAACTGCTTTTAAGTAATAAATGCTTTTTAAATAATAAATGCATTCACTGAATATCATTTTTCATCTATCATTCTTCATCGTGTACTTTGTACTCATTTCTTAACCCTTCTAGTACACTGATTTCCTCATTTTCTCATAGAAATGACTCAATTTCGAGTGAAAATGAAGATGTCAGTGCACTAGAAGAATGCGTTATCAGAGCACAAAGTACATCAGATAAACACCAGATTCACAACGCTGTTTGCAACAAATCATCAATGACAAAGCTCAATCTCCTCTCGAAATCCGCTGTCGCTACTTTGTTGACTCTTTTGTTAACAAAATACTCTGGCACATGATGATCAATAGTGTCACTTTGTTGCACCACAATGTTACCGTAATCTTTCACATTTAGTGGACTCGTTAAATGAGTCTGCTTCTCATCCTTGCACGAATCAGTAGAAAGCGATTCGGAAGATGAATAGAAAGTAGTAGAAACAGTTTGAGATTCGAAAGACCGAGGTTTTAAAGAAGATGTGGAAAAGGAAAAGGATAAATGATCGATTGGACTGACCCCAGGACGAGGCAATGACATGTAAGCCTGTCGCTCTGCAGCCACTCGACCACTTGCAGCTGCATCCGCATCTTTCGCTAGACGCGACAAATCGTTCACAGATTGGCCCCACGTGTCGCAAAAGACCTGTAATTTGTATTAGTTATCGTAGTCTATCTTTAAGACTATAGTAATCTAGTTTCGATCTACCGTAACCTTAGCTTCCATCTAAAGTAACCTTTGTTAGCTTCTTAGCTTCTCGTTCATTACCGAATCTTCTGAACTTTGTTACAATACGATATCCGCTTACAGTAACCTACCGTAGTCTATCTATTATCTATATTTATTTCTCAACAGTAACCCAGATTTTTCTTTTCTATCGTAATCCAAACTCACCTCCAAATTTTCCCTCGCAATTCGACTCGACGGATGAAGACACAACGTTCGACCGGCTAGTAGACACTAAAATTAAAATTAAAATTAAAAATACGCAAACCTAATTGCAAATAACTTAATCTATACTCAAAAGCTTCAAATTTAAACAATTTCTCAAAATTCAAACTCACCAAAGGAGCCAATGATCGCATATTTCTCTCGCAGTGTCCCGTATTCACGTGCAAAGCGTCAGTGAGTGAGATGTGATGTAAAAGACGGCAAACCTGAAGAAAGAATTTGAAAACTCAAACTTTTCTAATAATTTTAGAGTCTAAAGTTTAAAGTTTTATAAGTAATTGCTTACTGATACCTGCTAATTTCTATTCTTTTTTTCTATTCACTATTAATTGCTAATTTCCATTCACCTCTTGCATATGCTCAGAGTGTTCCCGAAATTTGTCCATAAATTCCTCAACTCC